AAATCGTAATACCAGCTCCGTAGTCCTGTGGATTGTTTTTTTTTTTTTCGCCCTCTCGCATTAGTTTTGGGGTCTCCAAAGGATGTCATCCATAAAATTAAATCAGTGTGGCCTTATTTCCAGCTTAAAAGTAAAGTATTTTACAGTAATGCTTTAAATTATAATAATGGTCACGTGACCCTTTCAATATTCTCAAATATGGAACATGATTTCTAAATTACTAAACTCACTTCATTTACCATCAGCACCTGCACCTGTAATTTGCAGACAAATATTTAAGAATTTAATTTTATTAAAACAACATTGAATGGTTTTATATATATGGCCAATGAAATCGCTGGGAACAGTCACTATATCAAAGTATTTGCTGTCTCAATGTGTCGTCATAGTTTTCTGATAACAGATGTTTCTTACTGATCAGCGCCAGCTTGCAATCTACTAAGACAACGTTGCCCATAAGTTTTATTAACAGGGACACGTACATGTATATTTAATAATAACGCTATTTTATCTTTGGGTATGAACAAGCCGGTTCTTGCCAACCGATCGCTGTACACACATAAGCGTGTAAAATGTAAACAAGTATGACTGCCTATACATATTAGTGTCACTCAATTTAGACAGAGAAAAAAATTCTGTGTCACAAGTAATATATAATAACTTTCTTATCGATATTTGATCTATAAAATCATGTCTCCAATAAAATGCACTTATTATATACACCAAGCAATATTTTATTATTATTTGCTGAATTTCATCCTGGATTCTGTCATTTCACTAAGCATATGTGCTACCAGTATACTAATACCGGGTACTGTATGATATTCTGTTAACAGAGAATTTTCACTTCATTGGTATGCATAATGTAAGATTCCCTTGTATTGCGGAGGTTTACAGTAATGGATTTCAATCTCTTTCAGCAAACCATGGTTTAATTATAAATACTTGCAAGTTTGTTGAACAATGTATTTATTTAAACAGTGCTAGTTCGCATAGCCTATTAATATTCATACTGCATATCAAGTCAATTTCCTCTACCCTGTACTGGGATAATCATCTATAAATCTTTATATAGCAGGAAACTGTGCTTTACATAAGGTGCCCTAGATTCACAATATCTGCTCTTGTTAATTGTAATGTATAAGAAGCTTTATGAATGAATCCAAAAATTCATTCTGGTATTATCAATTTTCAGCACCCCTGTCAACTTCAAATTAGTTATTACTGATTGTCCATCATTCTGTTCAAAAACAGAAATTCTGATTTTTGTCATTTTTCGTAAAAAGTGATATTTTTTATTTCTTTTTGAAAAGTGCAAGTCCAATTTCTTTGATATTATACATATAGTTACCTCAGGTGGACCTCTCTAAGATTTGTTGATTTCGTGATGATATCTTGTATTCTCAAATTTTCATGAATATTTTTGTCATTTTTGATAAAAAATTATATTTTTTCCTTTTTTTTTGAAAACGCAACTTCGATTGCTTTTTTATTATACATATAGTTACGTCTGGTAGACCTCTCTCAGATTTGTTCATTTCTTGATATCTTCAGTTCTAACAGCAGAGAGCTACAGTGTAATGGTATATTAGCTGAGTGGCTGATTGTTCAATAATGTTATTTAAAAAAACATACATGCTGTCCAAGTAGTGTTAATGTTATTTCTGTTATGTGACAATACTCGCATGAAGTACCAGGATGTGTACCCTTTGGGGTCACACCTAAGACTTGCATGACATGGCAATGAGAAATCCGATAACCGTAAATGTAGCACAAAATTGAATTTTACACTTTGTCAGATTTTGTGATATTTAATAGATAAAAGATGTCAATTTGAATATACTTTGAATGTCCATTGAAGGTGTCAGTAACCATGGCAACCTCACATCACACTAAAGTGTTGGGAATTTATGATGAATGATTCAAGTTTGCTTTATCTCATCGGATGTGAATAATCAGATGTCGTTATTAAATCTGCAGAATTTTTATCATAAGAAATTTTTTTTTTACTCATCTAAGCTAAGACACTGTAGATGTTATGTGCCAGGATTCAATGGCATACTCATTTTAGTTAATGAACTGAGATTTCAATAGTGATAACATAACGTGATATATCTATTAAAGTATATTGGTATTCAAGCCATGCATGTATCATTCAATGTGATCTGTGATTATAGTTAATGGTTTTTAGTGTCTAGACAGATAGTATGCTTAGTATTTACACTATATAGTAGCTGAATGCTTTTGAATTTTACTCACATCAAGAGTGTGCCCCTAACACTGTATTGCATCCAGGTTGTGTGCCCCTAACACTGTATTGCATCCAGGGTGTGTG